CTCTATATAGAATTAGCATTTGAGCTGGAACAAGAAGAATGAGAGAGACTGGGATAGGCAGAGATTTGGCAGCAGGGGTAAGTCACGTGGCTGTTCCAGAACACTGTGGCAGTTTGCATTTTTACAACTTGTTGAAATAAGTGTTTTTAGTATAAAAAAAGTTTTTGTTCTAATAGTAGTTTTGCTGGGTTTTTTTTTTTTTTTTGCCTTAACAAGGATGATATATTTGCTACAGAAGCAATTAAACCCTCACGAAAAACAAGAGAGAAGGAAAGAACATTTGATCCCAACTTGTTTGATGATAACATTGATATCTTTGCCGACTTAACCATAAAACCAAAAGAAAAGTCCAAAAAGAAAGTGGAAGCTAAGTCTATATTTGATGATGATATGGGTAAGTCTGGTTTTCTACACATGACATAGAGAGCCATTACCATTTAATGAGTTGATATTTCTCCTGCTACCTTTATCTTGGCTCTTTCCTGGAAAATGTTCCCCAGTGGGTTTTCTTTGGCTTGCTGTGTAATCCTGTGTTAGGCTGAGGATGGGTAAATAAATGAACTAGTCATTTTGGTGAAAAATCTTTTTGGTAGGATGGCTATAAAGGATTTGAAGTAGCCCTGAATTTAACTTTTAAGTATAATTTAACTTTCATTTTGGTATGTCCTCTGCCAATTATCTGTGACAAACCTGAACATTGATGTTACTATAGGAGGTTCAGAAACTACCACACATGCGAAAGTAGGCTAAAGTGGTTATCTCGGGCATGATGCAGTTGGGTAAGTCAGAGTTTTAGTTGAGAGTGAGCATTTAGTTGAGAGTGTTCAGAGAATGGAAGGACAGTTCAGGAGGAGAACAGGGCAGTATAAGAAAGCAGGTTATAACTCAGACTTCACATCTCACTGAGATCTTCTGTGTTTGTAAACATGCCAATTTTCACTCCCTGGTATTACATCTATTTATTAATGGGCAAGCCAATTGCCCCAAAACCGTAAATTAGGGCTTCTGAAATGTCCTGTGTTGTGTATTGGTGGATGAGGTTGGGGCTGAGGTCAGATATACACTTTATACAGCCTCCCCTCTGTCTCTTAGGTCTATTACATAGAGTTAACTGGGAGAAAGAAAACTGGTGTCGTAATGCCACTTTGGGTCTTTCTCTAAACAAGCCATGTGCTCTGTCTTCAATTGCTTTCTACCCCATCGGGTGCAGAAGAGACTTTGTTTTATAACAAAAAAGTTATATATGCCTGTTGTAATATATTAATACTATTTAGAAAATGTAAAAAGTAAAAAAGCAAACTCTAGAGGTAACTGTTACGGAGAGTTTGGTTTATATATATATATATTTTTTCCAAAATAAGAATATACTTTACCTATTCTATTGTTCCTTTTAGTCACTTAATGTCTTCCCATGTTAGTTGAGATCTGCTTCCTTGTTTTTTGTGGTTGTGTAGTATTGCTTTGTATTCAGCCATTAGCCTATTGAGGATGATCTAGATTGTTTCTAAGTTTTCTCTATTACAAATGATGCCATAGTCTTTACCATTTGGGTGTACATAACCCTATTTACACATGCTAAAATGTCTGTTGGAAGGAATCCTAGCAGTAACATTACTGGTTAGTAAAAATTAGTAAGGTAAGTCATAGAACACTAGAGTCAGTGAAACGCTAAACATTAGTATTAAAGACTTAACATTCTTAGCATTGAAATTCCTCAAATAGATGCACTTATTCTGAAAAAGAGTGACTCTTGT